TCGGCTTTTGTGAAGGAAGATGAATGTTCATGAAATACTGTTGAAGGTTTTGCTCACGAGGCGCTAGGTCGAAGGCGGTTAGGGGATGTGCTTGTCCGCTGCTTTTCCACTTCTGCTTTTCCATTTCCGCCTCATCCCCCGGCCCAGGCTCATCTGCTCATCCTTCGTCAACCATATATGAGTGGCTGGAGGGTGGACGCAGCTCTTCACAGGTGCAATCGCTGATTCCCGCCCGACCTCATAGCTCATAGCTCGAATTGAGCCTATCTCAACACCCATTAAATCCCAGGGTATTCGTGGCAAAGGTTAGTTCTCCATGTAAGTTGGTCTACTTCACTCTATAGAACCACTCTTCGACGTTCACGTGGTCTTCACGTCATACCGCTTCTCTTCATTGTACATGTTAAAGCTTTGACCTTTCTGGCGTGTCACATGAGAGGCCAGCCCAAGAGCTCACTTCCTACATCCAACCTTGACTTCTGGTCAGCAACACTGGTCAGAACACGGCCGAATCACAGGCTAGAGAAGCACCGATCGATGATCGACGGCAACGCTACGATGAGCGAGCCGTGCTGCCACCTTCTGAGGCTTCCAGCCGAATTGCGACTTGATACGAATATCTGCTGGGCCCGCCAGGAGCACTCGAGATCATATCTTTCGACTCACCAAGTATTGTGGATCTGCCTGCAATTGTGGCGTTGAAGACGCAGTTTCATCGTGGCCCACGGCAAGCTCATCGCTCTCCACCAGTCCACTCCGCTATCCTCCGCGTCTGCAAAGGAATCTACAAGGAAGCAGATCCCCTTTGCAAGCCACAGACTCTCGAACTCCCGATGTTCAAGCCATATTACCACGCCTCTGACACTCGCAATCTGGCACATCTTGTTGTCTATCAAATGAACTTGGCGAGATTCATGAGCTTGGGGATCCTTTATCTCAGCATCGACACGACATCGACGACCTTGCGAGAATGCTTGCAGCGGCTGCCATCAAGGAGCAGGTCATTTTCAAGAAGGCAGTCGCGAAAGAGGTGGTATCGCGGGATATGATGTCTGCCGAGGCAGCACTTCTTTACCACAGCAGTTCCTACAATGGCGGCAGACGACATTCTACTCGATTCACTTTGTTGTCTACAATGATATCCAGCTCCTGCAGCGCTTTTCACCCATCTGCTCCTGTGCGTCCTCCGGGGCGACCATCCCCCTTACCAGATATCCTCCTTATGTTCCGGCAATGTCATCTTGAACAGTGTTACGCTCGTGGTTGAGTGGCCTTGACGAGCTCGAAGCTCTTTGCAATGTCGCTTTGTGGGACTCCAGTGTGCGGCAGAGTCTCGTGGATGCAGCTCACAGTATGTGAACCTTAGTGTGACTCCTTGTTCGTCGGGAGCTTGCCGCAGGGGCGTGAGTTCTTAGTGTCGCCGGCCTGCAAGTCATGGTTTCGAGAGCTGGCTAGATCATGTACTGTCCCATGCACAATACATGGTGGTGCCATGAAGCACAGAACGAGCAGTCGAGCCGACATGAGCGCCCGCTCATCCTCAAAAGTAAGGGTCGAGCAGTTCACCATAGACTTTCGTCGAAAGGGTAGACGGCACGAACACTAGGTCTTACGATTGATTGACACCTTATAAATGCGATTAACGTGAGTGAGCAAGGTGGCTGAGCTCTGGAGACTACCGAAGAAAACTTTGCATGAAGCTTTACGTGAGCGAGATATGCTATGAAGTAAAAGACTCCAGGCCCCAGCAAGCTCAATGGGCTGCTAAAGAACTGGTGCCCCCTCTTGCCGCCGGCTACCAGCCGGTGCCCGCCGGCGCTTCTGCCCCATGGGCGCCACCTCTTGCGACAGCCGAAGTGCTGACCTTTCTTGCCTGCCTCTCTGCGATTCCTTTGTGACAGCGTACAGGCGAGACTTGCTTCAATGCCATCTAAGGGAATGGTTTCATCAGCGGACGATGTGCAATGTCATGAATCACTCTAGTCAGGCGTGTAGACTCCCATGCATCTCAAGTCATCGCTACATCACCCGTCCAGAGCCCAGTTGGACAAGGCGGCGAGTAGTCGGTTGGTGGTGGAGATGGGGGTTGGCGAGGAGGTTGAAAGTGGTCGTGAATGGCGAAGAGTTGAAAGTGATTGGAGGTGGCTGAGAGTCGAGGGAGTTGGTGTTGTGTTGTCGAATGAAGGTAGGGCACGCTCGTAAACGCTTTCGATAGCCAGCACACAGAGAGGCAGCAACAGCAGATGGAGAGGAAGGAAGAACAAGACGCAAGCCAATTGATGGCGGATGAGACGAGTCGACAAGTTTGAGATTTGGGGGAAGAAACTGTTTCTTAAATAGTGGAGGGGTCATGTGTGCAATCAACGCCGTATCAATCTCGAAGCGCTAGGCCCATTGCAATGAGTGGGTCCCGCTTCGCCTGCAGGAAACGAAAGAGGAAGGAACGCAATCTCACATGTTTGCTTGGCGTTCTGCCTCGATGCGACGACAGCGATCGCTTACGGGCATTGGACTCACCACAGTAGGGATGGAAAGTTCCTGATCATTTTGCGCACGCCGAAGTTCGATGAGCGGGTCATCGACGGGCATGTAATTGTCACGTGATCGTCATACCTGTGTCCGGACGGCAGCCATCTCCTTCTCCACCTGGAAAGACTCTGCGGTGGATTTGGTGGCAAGCTGACGCATACGATGCGGCGTTCATGCAATGGGAGTGTGGCTTCATGCGGAATATCTCGAAGTACTTTTGTAAGCCTCTTTCAAGGTTGAGCTTATCTTGCGGGTGGCCATCATTTCCCGCACTCACGTGAAATCAAGAACCTCTCCCCTATTCGCCAGCGCATGCTGTTGAAGCACTTGGGTATCGTCGTGGAGCGCTCATTCCTGGCCTGGCCAGACCTCATCAGCAATCGCACGTACTAGCTTTAGTTTCTTCCTCATATCTTCATTGCCGAGATCGTTTCCTTCACTGAAAGAACACGGAGAACATTAGCAATGCGGCATACTTGTGGGCTTCACAGACTCACGCATGGCTTGCAAACCCGCACTGTGGCGACACCGAAAGCCTCTGCAGCGCTTCTTCCCGGCTCACCTTCGAGCCCTCAGTGATGTAGTCAGCCGCTTTGTGGACACGATCCGCCATCTCCTTCTGGTCTTCTAGCTCCGGGAACTTCGAAGTCACCACGCCGACCACAACGTTTTTGTCCTTGGGCAAGTACTTGAGCGGCTCAAAGCCTCCCGCGCGGGGTGTGTCGTATTCAAGGTAGTACGTCGATACGTTGAGGTTGTTGAATATCTTGGAAGCGATACGGTCGTAGGCACCCTCGCTAAAGTGCTTCGAGCCGACATAATTGCCTCTGCACAGGCGAATACCCAGGTGGAAATCCGCAGGACGTTCGAAGCAGGCGTTGTAAAACTTCAGGTAAGCATCGAACTGCTCGTCGGCGGTCTGGAAGTTCTCCGGATCGTTCTTCCAGCCGTCCAGCATAGCCTCGGAGCAGAAGTCTGGGAGCACTATCAGCACCAGATTCCGAAGACGAATACGTGGACATACAAGCAAGATTGGGATCATCTACTTGACCATTGCGAAGGCCAGCGTCATACAGGATCTTGAGCTCGGTCTGGTATGCCTTGGCAACATCTGCGAAGTACTCGTCGTCCGTGTTGTAGGCGTCCGAGGTGTAGGCTCTGCCTGGGCCGTACCGGAAGTGGTACCTGATAGCCAGTCAGCATTGTGGCTTGCAACCCAACGAAATGGTATTACCAGGATGGACTTGTCAACGTGAGCTTGATGTTCTACTTCTGGTCAGCTTGAGCACTTTGATGATCATGTGAATGGACGCACCTTCCACTGGTCCTGCGGTAATATGCTCTTCATATACTCCAGTTCAGGCAAGAAGCTCGACTTTCCAGTATGCCAGATCTTGCCGGTAGCAACAGTCACAGCATTGGGGACGGTCTTTGCATGCATGAAGCTCTTTACATCTGTCGTATCGCTGTCAGCAAAGGCCAGAATATAGGGCTCTCGTGTGCTGACCAGGTGCGTAGGCTCGAAAGATCGATTGATCATAACCCGACTCCCTGAGGTTGATCTCCTCCATACCATTAAGCGTCTCGAAGAACGTTCCCCAGAATTGATGGCGTGAGTATTCGCCATTAGTGATGCTGCGGATGTCACAGTCCTGCTGCAACTTCACGACATCTTTGATAGCGTTCTATTCGATGGGCACAAGAGACTCTTGTGCCGCAGTCTTGTCCGCTACTGCATATCGCTGCTTAACCAGAGCTTCTGGTCGTAGCAGCGGGCCGATATGCTCTGCTCTGAAGGGTGGATTCCGTGGTGAAGACATTTTGCAGGACGCTAATCGACAATGATGTCCAGATGGAAAGTCGACATTGCCTCTCCCAAACTCTGTTCATCAGAAGCCCCTCTTCTGGTCTTCAGTGTCATGGCCCCACCACCTGTTCGAGAACCAGGATGCAGGTACCGGTCTTTGACCGAGACGGCATTTCAGGCTGAGCGCATGTGCCGCAGCGCGGTGGGTGCTTTGGATGTTGTTCTTCGCGATATTGCTCTTTGAACGTCTTCTCCTTCATGGCCCAAATTTCTTCAGTCCGTCCTCGGAAGGTTACAGACGAAGCCAAACATGTATTCTGCGTTTGAAGAGCAGACTGATGGCATTTGACATCGTTGTGACCACGGTCGACCCCTGGCAATGGTGCCCGTCGATGTTTTCGATCCTTGGTATACTCCAACGTTGCACAACACGGCTGCACAAGAAGTCTTGTGGTCACAGATGACCGTTCGGTCATTGCATACGGTTAGTTAGGTACGGTGATATGTTATATGCTTGACAATAGCTTTTAATCTTCGTATACATTCTCTACCATTTGTTCAGCAAAACAGAAACTATATCTGGACCACCTCCTCTCGCGACCTCTTCTACAAGCTATCGATCTTCAGTAGCCATCGACAAAACACAACGAAAGCAAAAGAATGATTGCCGACGCCAGGATCGAATTGGCGCTTCCGCCTCACCACAGAGTATGAGGGCGGTGCTCTAGCCAACTAAGCTAATCAGCATTGTAGCTAGGAGATTCGAACTCCTCGTCTCCGTCTTGTCAGAACGGCGCCTTAACCAGATTGGCCAACCGGCTGATTGGATGGTTGTTGAGAGCAGAATCTTGAAGACAGTATATGTTGGTTGATATTGTGAGTCACTCGAAGGAGTGAGTTAGAGTGGTGGCCATGGAGATGGTGGTGCACAGCCCGCGACATCTCGATGAGCTCGTAGAAGTATGCTAGCGTCGCAGAAACTCCATTCCATTCCATGCAGACGTGGCGGGAGAGTCCTATCAGTGTACAGTCGCAGTCTCTAGTCCATTGCCTTGAATGATGCCCTGCTGATCGGCCACTTCAGCACCACTCGTACTTTGCCCGGCATCCGACTTCACTTGGTCGAAGAACTCCGTCATATCGACTGCTAGTACCGCATTCGACCTCACGACCTGTTTCTCGTCCGCCGAAGCCTGCCTCAGCATATGCAGAAACGGGTCTGGATCTCCAATCGTATCCGGGTCACTGTCATGCAGTCTCGTCTTGTTCGCTTGGCTAGTCGGGTTCACAGTATCGACAAATATCTGTCTGCGAACCTCTGCATACTTCTCCAGCACAGTCTCACTCGTCTTGCTCTCATATATCACAATCAAGCTGTCTGCCAGCGCTGCAGCATCCATTATCCCACCCGTCAGTCCCAGACCACCAAATAGATTGCAGAGATGAGCCGCATCGCCTGCCAACATCACCTGGCCCTTTTTGAACGTACTGGCACACCGCTGGTTCAGTCGGTATGGGCTCATTTGCTGCAATTCCCACCTTTGCTCGCCGTTCACTTTGCCCTCGCCAGGAAACATCGCGGCATACTTCATTGGCATCCTCTCCTTCAGCTCGTCGTCAGTCAGACCAGGCTTCTCGCCATACGAAACCCTCCACAGTCCTTCGTTGTTGATTCGACCCATGAGCGCCCAGTGATCGGGATCAACCATGAAGTTCCCGTCTTTCCAGCCGTGCGCAGCAAAGTCGAAGTACACGTTCGTGCTGACGAGCTGTTCTTCGTAGGTGAATCCATCGAACGAGATATCCAGGAGCCGACGCATGGTTGAGCGACCACCGTCGGCTGCGACGCAGTATGTTGCGGTTAATTGTCTAGACTGGCCGTCGGAGTCTTCGACTGTAAGAACAACATCATCGCCACTCGACTGATCCACCGCGGTAACTTTAGTGTTGAACAAGACTTCAGCATTCTTGCACCCCTTCAGATGCTCCAGAACGATGTCCGCGAGCAGGTGCTGCCCGATCGTAAGATTCTCGTACGGGAACTCCTTCGAAGGCGCTCGGTCAATCTCGGCAATGACTTCTTTTGTCCTCGTACTTCGCCAGCAGAGACCAGTACCCGCACTGCCGATTCTGCGGCAGTCGTCCAGAACACCGGCTCGATCGAGTTCCTTGACCGCAATGGGGTGGTAGGCCATCGCTCGAGGTGAGGCATCGATGGCGGCGAGTGCTTCCACACATTTGACTCGGATGTCGGCTTGTGCAAGGCGGAGGGTTGTGAGGAGGCCTACTGGCCCAGCACCCACGATTAGGACTGAGAGGTCTCTCATTGCCGGACGCACTGTTGATAGGGACCTGGCGGCCCAGGGAAGGATGTCTACGCTCGCCACGTGCTATAGATCGTCGGAGTCGCCAGTAGGATTCGACTTAGTCCCGGACAACTTGCGTAGAAGTTCAACAAGGTGTCATGACCATCTGGTTATGTTATCATCTCGAGTCTTGCTTCTTCGGGAATGCATTGCCACCTAATGCTGCAATCAACATCCTGGTCTTCGATCTCGGCTAAGATGAGATGTGATGCTAAGAGCCGCATAGAACAAGCTGAGAGCTGTTCAGTGTTCACGTGGAGAGCATGCGGGACTTCGTGCATGTCTCCACATCAGTATCGGCATATCGATGAGAAGATCAGGCGAACTTGCCGTGCTGGTTGTAGGTCACTTTCGAGTAGGACTCTGATCATAGCACTTGCGAAGATGAAACGGGTATAAATGTGCAGATGGAAGAAGTAGAAATGTGTAATATCAAAGTCAACAGCTTCTCCTACCTCATTTTCGTCAACCTCGACTAGTCGGTCAATCAAATCGCCTGGAGACGTTCCAAAGGCGCCTTCGGCCATTACCATGTCTGCTTGCTAGCCATGATAACACTGCTTCCACCGATCGTATCTCCGGCCACCGAAAGCCCACAGCCAACTTCCTTCGAATCTTCTCGGCGTTGGTATGCTGCTTGTTGTCATAGACATAGTAGTATGCGTAGCAAGGGGAAGCTTGTGGTTCGGGATGCCGGGACGCCTACGGAGTAATATTTGCTGTTCACACGACCTTGACGCGTGCCTTACCTAGATCGATCTCCCTTCTCGAGCTTCTCATGCCTCTGCACATGCTAAGCGACTCTCGAGGCAGCTTTATCCGAGTTTTGAAGATGCCGCTTTGCTGATAACGGCCATCTTCTCCATGGTGCCTGTAGTTGATGTGTGTGTCCGCAGTCCGAATCATCAAGGTCGTAACAATGCCGGTAACGAGTCGAGGCGGCCGTCACCAGACACGAGCCATGACTAGTACACGAGCGACGTACTACCGTCCCTCCCTGCAAGCGTTGCTTTGTGGTGTCGTTCGGGGGGTGTGGCGCATCAGTCCGCCCCGATCGTCGGCCTACAGCCACAGCGTCGAACGGGAATTCCACAATGCTCTTCCGCACGCAGATCAGCATGATGAGTTTCGTGATGCCACAGGCTCACGGCACAAGATAAACCTATCAGGTCTTCCCTTCCATCCAGAGAGGCCTTAGCGGCAGGCACGTTTGCTTCAGGGAAGGATCTGCCGAGGACAGCACCACTACCACCGACCACACCTCCTCCTCCCCTACCCACTACCGCTCCTCTGTCAGCATCGGACGCTACAGCAACGAACGCGGCAGAGTAGCGAGTAGGCCGTGTCCAGCTTGATGAGGATGATATGCGTTCAAAGCCTGTCACCGCCTGATCGACAGCGAGAGCTCAAGTTGCCCACCCGCCCAGTGCGCCACACGCGCTCCAAACCTGCGACACATGTGGCAGAAGAGCTGTATAGAGAAGGCAGCGTGGCTGCTACGACGAAGCGCCAATGACAGGAGCGATGAAAAGCATGCCGAGATACCACGCGAAGGACACGGAGGACCGGCTCGACACCAGCCCGCCACGGTCAGAACGACCAGCATGAAAGCCCTGGTCTCGAAGATTTCGACCCCCGACTCAAGCACAAAATGTGAAACGCGAGGCGCTTACGGAGAGGCACCTGCGCCTGCCATACGCTCTGGTCGGGCCTGCTGTCAATCCGGCATGGAGCACATAACACTCAGGCTCAGGCTCGCTCCCGCCTCTCGGATCGTACAAAACGTCAGTACCCGGGGCCAATGACCTACTGGAAGACGTCGGCATGCCAAAGACTGGCGCGCAAAGATTCAGAAGTGGACCCGGCACACACTGCACGGCGACCGCTCACCTATATTTCGCCTACAGCTGCCCGTATGCCAGGTGTCTGGCTCAGCTCCAACGCTCGGCTCGGACAGCTGCGGTTGCTGGTTGCCGTCAATATGATGGCCATCGTTGGCCTGACTCGCCAATTTTTCAACAGATGTCTGCCTCCCGGGTCTGTGTACTCAGCATGGCACAGTGGATCCTGTTTCTCAGGCTTCAGTCTCGATCTCCCAAAACCTTCCGGTCCACGAGCAGTACGGCAGCTCTTCCGGAAGGTATACTGGATCATGCAGATGTCATATCGGCCCAATTGGTCAAGGGTTCCAGGATCAAAGGTACCGTATACATGAGGTCCAGTTCACAAAGGTGAAAATAAGCTCCGTATCATGCTCTCTCCCGGCGGCGATCTCACCGCTGCTCTCCCAGTGGTATTTGATCCTCCGATTGAGGTGCTCGACCGAGCGCTTTCCTTGTCCCCAGTCTCCGGAGCGCCAAATGAAAGGAGTTATACCATATGGCCCGAAATATCGTGATTTTGCCAACGGGAGACAGCCATGTTCGGCATAGATGTAAGACCAATCTTCTGACGCACTGTGCTCAGGGGAGCATTTCGAAGGGTTCGAAAGGAAGCTACCTTGCCTTAAAGATCTGATGCGGCCATATTTTCCGGAGGAGGTACTCTCGTCAGGAATGCCAAAGGGCTTGCTGATGAGCCAGATCTGGCAGACGCCCTTAGGGCTGCCAGGAGTGGTATACCTACTGCCGCCTTGACTGGCATGAGATCACCCTTCGCGGTGGCCGTCCGACCACTTTTTCTGCCCCCGATCTCCGGCACACAGCTGGAAGGGAATGTATCAAGTGGCTGGAAATTACGCAGTCTTCACAAGCAGAGGAAGCTACGTCCGGCGCAGATGAAAGGTCACGCTGAGACCCGTTCCAAGAGCTCAACACCATACGAATCACCTGACGTCCCTACCGCAAGCATATCCGGAGAGGTGTTCTTCAAGGTGGGGATGCCGGGTGAGTATGCCCAAGAGCCTGAAGGTGAGCCAAATCTGGCAGACGCTTTCGGGGAATATCTGCATGACCCAGGTAGGTGATCTTCCTGGCAAGTATGGATATCCTCCTCTTCTATCTTCCGTGCTGTGTTCTCAAGGTGCTTGCTGGTGGTGATGCCACTACAGTGGCTGCTGGCAGAGTTTGCTGCAGGTGGTGGCGACGGGGGGTCGCAGGAGCTGTTTGCCACAGTCAGTGTCGCTCTGGCCTGTTTAACAAAGGGCTCGGAGCTCGTCGCGCTGATTACTGCAGCAAGCAGACCTACTCTGATGGTGGTGGGTGGCGGTGGATGGTGGTGGATGGTCACGCCTAACTGGCACCGCGCCGCTTTCAACTCATCAGTCATGCCACCAGGGCCACGCGCGCAGCGTCCAACGGCGCCTCCTCGACTCTATACACAAAGGTGGCGGTGTCATGGCCAACACGAAGAGCTTCAAGACGTTACGATGGATTGTTCATGTTGTTCTATTGCTTCTATGGCTTCTATGGCTTCTATGGCTTCTCTGGCTGAAGGTGCGTGGACGCCTACTACGTGC